GGGCTGGGGCCCCATCTCACCAGCAAGGGCCCGGCTGATGTGGCAGATACAGGTGGCCTGGCCAGGAGCCCAGACAGCCCTTTCCACACACTGTCCTGGCCTGGCGGGCGGTGGGGCTGGGCCAGGCGGACACTCACCCACCCCGTACCCCGTGCCCCAGGCCCTGCCCGGCGCTGTCAGCACGGACCTTCCTAACAGCAGAACAGGGGGGCGGCCCCCAGTGGGGTTCGAGAGGGGTGAGCCGGGCAGATGGGGGCAGAGTATGGAAGCACCGGTGGGTGGGCACCAGCCACGCCCGTGGCACCTGAGCCCTGGCCTGGCCCCTGTGACCTACACAGAGTGGTGGGCCTGGGGGCTCAGGGGGCATTGTCCCCACACCAGGCCACCGTCCACCTTCTGGCGGCCACAAGCCACAGTGCAGGTGGTCAGAGTGGCCCCCATCAGGTTTGGGGTGCTGTTTGTTCAGAGGCCCATGACACCCCCACAAGCACGCAGAAGTCATTCTCTAGTCGGGATTACGTGCACAGAAGTGAGAACGACCTAGACAGCAGGCGAGAGGCCACAGGCTGGGGGTCCTGAGCAGCGGGGGCTGGCATGAGCAAACAGAGTCCTATAGGGAGGTGGGCGGGGGTCCCGGCGTGGCTGGCTCTGTCTGGGCAGGGCTGCCCCTGAGATGCTAGGCGGTCCTGTCCTGCCCAGCTTCCCTGACGCGGCCTGATGCCCCACCAGCCATTGGACAGAGGATCTGGCCAGGCCCAGGTCCAGCCCTAGGAGCCCACCCTGTTTCCTGTGTGCCCCTCGCAGGGCCCAGCCAGGGCCAGTCTCCCAGATGATCATCTGACCTGTGAGGCTGCTGGGCACAGGTGGGTGCTCAGCCTGGAGGGACGTCACAGCCTGTCACAGCCCCTGGCACCAGCAGGGGGCACTGTGGCTCCAGGGATGCCTGGCGGGCGCAGGTGCGGGAGGTGGCCACTTGCCAGAGGGTCTTGAGGACCAAGGGTCTTGGGGGGGCGCTTTTCCTGTAGCCCTCCCCTGCCTGGCCACACCCGCCCCCAACACGCCCTGCAGACACAGGCCCCCACGCCTGGCCCGGCCGGCCCAGCTCTACAGCCCAGCGTGGACACCGTCCCCTTGGCCGCCCCCCTGCCCTCGCAGCCCCCCAGATGGGTGGAGGAGAAGGGGCAGCACAGGCCAGCCCCACCAGACGTCTCCCCCAGGCTGACTCATGTGGGCTGGGCCAGGCCAGCAGGGGCTCCGGGATCAGCCTGGCCCCCAGCCAGGGTGAGGGTCAGAGGGCAGCTGGCCACAGGTGGGAGGGCGCCATGGGGTCACAGGGGGCTGGAGAGCAGAGATCTCCAGGCTTCTCTCCAAACAGCCATTTATATGTCATTAACAGCGCCCCCCAGGCTTGGTTTTGGAGCAAAATCCACTACGGTAAACACTCTCACTGAGACGGGCTGGGGCCTGGGCGGGAGCAGCCCCCACACCCCTGGGAGGCCGCGTGGGAGGCGCCTGGGCCCCAAGCCGACCTGAGTCGTGGGGTGGGGCTGTGTTTGGGTGAGCCCCAGAAAGGCAGGGGACAGGCCAGCTCCGTCCTGCCCTCGCCCACAAAGCTGTGAGCCTGGGAGAGCCCCCCACCCGGCATTCCTCACTCCCGGCAAATCGGACCCAGCGGCTGGGGCCACCTCTGCCCCGACTGGACGTCTGTCCATTTGCTCTTCTACCCGGTGTCTGTTCCACACAGTTGCTCACCTGTCCCATGTCAAGCTCTCTGTCCTTCAGCCTTAGCCCAACTCAGGTGACAGGAGGAGAGGGGAGGGGGTGGAGGAGGAAGAGGAGGGAGGAGGGGAGAAGGGAGGGAGGAGGGGAGAAGGGGGGAGGGAGGAGGGATGGGCAGGGGAGAAGGGGGAGGGAAGAAGGGGAGGAAGGGAAGGGGTATGGGAGGAGGCAGGAG